CCCCCTATAAAGGCCCAACCACGGGACAGTGATCAGGATGGCCCAGATTGCAGCAATGCATCGTTTCGCCCAGTGCTGCGAAAAGAGTTTGGTGGGAGCCCCGGGCCCCTGCCCTGCAGATCACTATGATCAGGCTGGACAAAACTGAGCAGATCGAAAGGTCTACAGAGTCTACAGTCGAATTCATGATTTCTGAGACAATTGAGCTGAGCAGCCGCGCTTGGGCTGTTTCAAACATTTCCAGCACACCAGGTCTCCATCCTGGAGCCCTCTCCATCCGTTTCAAGAATTCCAGTCATCCGTCCTCCTCCGAGGTCATGTCAGCGGAACTGGCCGGGCGATTGGTGGCTCACGTCCTGGGCGGTTGGAGGTGTCAGCGACGGTTCGGTGCAGAAAGTGTTCTTTCGGATGACTGGCTTTCGGCCCTTTCTCGTGACAATGAAAGACACATTTCTATATCTTCATTATAACCTTCTATAAACGGATTAAAACTATCATTAAAAACATATCACGTTCCTTGCACAGGGTTGAACCCCGTCCGGAACACTCTCAGAAGCCAGCAAAGAGAGCTTTCCTGGTAGACCTTTCGTAATCCAGTCTTTGCTCGTTCTGACGTGTTCTGACGACAAACGTCGCTTGCACTGGCTGAGCATCGAGCTGCAGCCCAGCCTTTCCATCCTATCCCCATTTGCTTCGAAAGGTCCTACTGCCAGATTCAAGTGGCTCACCGTCGCCGGTGTGCCAAGGCCTTGCAGGCTCGGGAGAACCTGAGGTTTGGAGAAGGATTTTCCATGGTTTTCATCTTTGCTGATTGAGTTTCGCAAAAACAGTTCAGGGTAGGGTGGTTGCACATTTAAGAAAGTTTATGCATTATATAATTCAATTTAATTCATCATCGGCAGCTGCCTGCTAGCTGCAGTCGCCAAACTCGAGCGTTTTGAATAAGGTCTCAACATATCTCAACTATATAAGAGGGTTTGACGAGACGAGAACATGTTTTCCAAGAGTCATCCTCAGGTTCTCCTTGCAAGGAGCACCTTCATGAAAATCTCATTATCAAGTAACCTCCGAAGGTTCATTGCAGATGCGAACATCAAGATGCTACCGGCAGGTCCTGAACTGTTTCTTCTCAGATCCCTCTAGACATTTCCTGGACATCCCGAATAGATAGACTACGTTTTCTTGATCCCACATATCCCTCAAAATGAACCCCTTTAACATCTGAAGCCTTTGCCCATCAGACAACCATTTTGTTTCAAACAGCATCCACAGCCACCAATCATTGAATCCTTGTGACTTCTGTGAAAGGCCGCACAGTCTTGGCCCCTTCGCGCGGCGTTCGACCGCTTCTGGCGTGCGATTCAGCAGCAGCGCGGCTCGGCCAAAATTCTGAGTTCTACATAGTTCTACTGGAACCAATCTAGGGGATGGCTGGCTATTTCTTTGATGACTTTGGATTTGTAGGGGGACAGTTGGCCAGTGGAACTCGAGGTCGCGAGCTGCTGCGTTTAGACTTTCTGGAGCAGCTTGCTCGAGCTCTTCATGTTCGCTTGTTAGGGCCCCACAGGTACTGTACCGGGGTGGCATGGGGCCATGGAGATGTGACGTTGCAAAGGTTTTGAACATTTTTGAACGCTTTTGAATCTATCACCCCCAAGATCAAGAGGCACACAATGTGACACAACAAGTTCAAGAACTTGACGTCTCATTGCTGCTCTGCCGGTGTGGGTGGTGCGTTCATCCATTTTTTGCGCTGAATTGAGGCAAGGTTTCTCTACACTCATCCCAAAATCTATTGGTGCGGTGATGATCACCTCATGGGTGTTTCTTGAAGCAACCAACACTATCGTAGGAATGTAACAGTCGGTGTGTCCATCAAAACCTGCGTATGTTGTTCATCCACCAGAGCACTTGTACAGGCTACTTGAATGAATCTATGTACAGTACCCAGCCTATTGATGTCTATTGCACCTTGCGGTACTCCTTGCTTTGAGTTTCCTGGCGGAATGGTGTTCACTCAGGTCGAGTGCAGTGGTCAGGCGCACGGATGGTGGGTGGGACATGGTGGGACTTTGGTTGTTTTTCAGATCGCTCAATGATCGATTGCACTCGCAAGAAAGCCCGTATTTTTGACGTATTGGAAACATGCACTGTCGCTCATAGACCCATGCACACACTTGAAATCACGCACAACATCTCACAACTGGTTCCAAACATATCATAATATTATACTTATTCGGTGGGCATGTATAGTTGCCCTATCTAGCGTTTTGGGTTGGTACCTAATTGCTTAAAGCAATTTCAATGCGCAAGACTCAGGTGGCTCCAGCATAGCAGATGCAAGAAGCTGCAGCGTGCTTGTGAGCTTCGAGCGATTGCGAATGTATGGAAGGTGAGCAGAGGGTCGCTAATGGATGAGATTCGGCCATCAGTTTTCACTATGAAGCAACAAAGAGCTTTGACATTGCTATTGCTCGTAGTATAGCAATTGCTTCATCTAGATCGGCACTCCGACTGTCTGCGAGAATCTGCTGAATCGACCGGACACTGTCCTTATTTTCTTGGTCCTAGTTCCAGCTATACTTGGAATTATCTTGCAAGAATCTTATCCAACATGACCAGGTATGGCGACAAGAAGTGCTGCTCAGGTATTCGCAGGCTGACTGTGACCGATCGGTATCTCTTTGATGCATACTTATACACGTTGATTTTCCTAGTTAGCTATTCTGTACGCGAAACCGATCAGATGTTCATCCATTTCATTTGAAATCGAATCTCCTTGCTGCTGGACTTGCCAGCGCTTGTATGTTGACGCCAGTCCCGTGAATTCCTAAGCAAGCCTCTTTGAACCTCTGAGTAGGTGATTAACGGGAACATCTGGAAATTATTCCAGGAACAAGGAGGATGACACAAGGGATGAAGCGAATGAGCTACGTTTTGCTATCTTTTGTTCATCGAACCTCCGAGGTGGAACTTCAGAGCCCGGGAGCCCAATCCATGTCGGCAGTTTCAGCGAAGTCGCCCGGTTGGTTGGACCCGGAACCCTATTGGTTGCACCCCAAAAGAGATGGAACAGATGGATGTTTGAATGTGTTTGATGCGTTATTTGTTTCTTTTTTCACATCTCTATTTTTGTCCATGATACAAAGCAGAGACCACTTCGGATCAGTTCCAGTTGCTGTTTTGTTCCAAGTCATCGATGTCATGAGATGCGAGAAATCAGTGCCGCCTGCTTGTTGAGCTAGAGCGGGGCCTCAGTGGTTGTTGCACGGAGAGGCGAACGTCCAAGCTACCTTTCCGGTGAGGCATGGTGAGGGGACCAACCAGGGTCGATGTCCATTTCTCCGACCGAGACAAGACGATTCCGACGATTCCGACGTCGATTCGGACTGCGTGGACAGCGCATTTCAGTCAGAGTCATCTCTGGAAAAGGGTCATCCACTCAGATCCCTGCGTGTATGTGATGGCTTATGACTCGATTCGACCATAGATCTTAAGGCCAGCGGTTGGCAGCAGTCAGAGGCTGGGGGTTGCTT